GCACGCGCACAGCACGCGCACAGCACGCGCACAGCACGCGCACAGCACGCGCACAGCACGCGCACAGCACGCGCACAGCACGCGCACAGCACGCGCACAGCACGCGCACAGCACGCGCACAGCACGCGCACAGCACGCGCACAGCACGCGCGCACACGCGCGCACGCGCACACGCGCACACGCGCACATGCGCACACGCGCACACGCGCACGCGCGCACACGCGCACACGCGCACACGCGCACACGCGCACACGCGCACACGCGCACACGCGCACACGCGCACACGCGCACACGCGCACAAGCGCACACGCGCACAGCACGCCAAGGAGCACCAGACCTGCACACAGCACGCAACACGCGCACACGCGCACCGACGCGCACACCGCACACGCGCCACACATGCGCGCACACGCGCCACACATCCACCGCACACGCACACAGTATAACGAACGCACACACAGCGCAACGCACACAAAACAAACACGCACACACGCGCACACGCACACCCGCACACACTCACACCGCACACTCACGCACAACTCCCCGCACACAAAACACGTGCACATGAAACACGCCCCACGCACACCCGCACACCCGCACATCCCGCACAACCACACACGCACACACGCACACAAAAAATCCTACGCACACTACGCACACCACGCACACACGCACACAACGCACCACAACGACACACACACGCAACACACGCCCACATGCACACACACGCGCACACGCGCACACCGCACACGCGCACACGCGCACACGGAACAAGCAGCACAAATCTAACGCGCACGGCCAGGCCCGCACGCACTCGCGCAGCCGACGCGCACCGCGCACGCGCGCAACGTGCGCACGCGCGCACGCGCGCACGCACGATCCTCGCCACACAACGCCCAAACGCACACCCGCACACACCAACAAAAAACCACACACACACACGCACACGCTACTAAAACGCAACACGACGCACACGCACAACCGCCATGCACACACACACACTCACGCACACACACAACACAACACAACACACACAACACAACACAACACACCAACAACAACAACACACACAACACAAACACAACACAACACAACACACACACACAACACACACCACACACACACGCACACACACCAGCAGCGCACGCACGCACGCACGCACGCACGCACGCGTCGCCGAACGCGCACACGCACACGCACACGCACACCCACACGCACACGCACACGCACACGCACACGCACACGCACACGCACACACACACACACACGCACACACACACACACACACGCGCCAACACCACCGCCACCACCACCACCGCCATCACGCACGCACGCACTTGGCCCACCACCAAACCACCAAGACGCCACACCACGTCACACCACAGCACACGCGCACACACGCACACACACACCACCACCTCCACCACCACCACCACCACAACCACAACCATAAATAACCATAACCATAACCACAACCACGCACACACGCACGCACGCACGCGCACCACCACCCACTACGCACGCGCGCGCGGAACTACAGGTCCGCTACGACACGCGTCCGCGGATAGAGAAAATCAGCGCCATGGTAAGGCATGGGAGGGAGGGGTAGGACGTCAGATATGACGCGAGCGCACATAGCTTGCCTCCTCCCCCTCCTCCTCTTCCTCCTCCTCCTCCTCCTCCTTTTCCTCCTCCTCCTCCCCCTCCTCCTCCTCCGCCTCCTCCTCTTCCTTATCCTCCTCCTCCTCCTCCTCCTCCTCCTCCTCCTCCTCCTCCTCCTCCTCCCCGTTCCCCCCCCCCCAGTTCCCCCGAGCTCCCGCCGCGGCCATGCCGGCGCGCGGCGCCCGCGCGGCCGCGGCGCCGCCCCGCGCGCCGCGCGCCGCCGCGCGCCGCCTCCGTCGCGGTGCTCGCCGCGGCGGCTGCCGCGCTGGCGGTGGCTTGCCGCCGCGCCGGGCGCGGTTCGGTCGGGGACGTCGGAGGAGGAACAAAATACTTACAAGGATAGTTTAGTCGAAGAGGACAAAAGCGACATCAACATAAACTTTTGGCGTTCCGCGCGGATTTCTCGGAGCCGCGCTGGGCCCCCCTGGCGGCGCCTCCGGCGCCGCCCCTGGCGCGCTCCGCGCGCCATGCATGGTCCGGCGCGGATCCGAGAAGCCCGCGTGGAGCTCCAACAGTTTATGTTCACGCCGTTTTTTCTTCTTCCATTTAGGTTCTCCCAGATGGGGTCGAAGTGGATGGGGTCGGAGGATGGCGCCGCCGCGCCAATGCTTCGGCGATGCGGCTCGATGTGGAGGCCGAGTTGCTACGCGCCGATGGCGCCGACGCATCGCCAGCGCGTCGCCGACGCATCGCTGGTGCGTCGCCGATGCGTCGCTGGTGCGTTGCCGATGCATCGCGGATGCGTCGTTGATGTATCGGCGATGCGGAGCGATTTCTGATCCCAGATGCCCGGACCCAATCGA